CACTGTGGTAAAACTTCAGGAAGGTATTTCAGAAACAAAGAAGTCAAAAACCTCACTGGAAGCAATGCCATCTGAAGGGCACAGACTTACAGGCAGGACGAGACTCCCAGCTTTACTGGGAGAAGGTTTATCCTCCAAAAGTAAAAATAACCAAAATACCTGAGGGGGTGATATAAGCAGTGGAAAAATCATGTATGGGAGGATTCCTCTTCAGCCCAGCTATAGAAAGGCTTTCTAACTCCAACTCAAAATCCATTTGCAATGAAACTAGAGAGTGATAAATTTTGCTCCATTAAAATATGAATTTTTTTTTTAATTTCAGACAGAAAGAGAGAGAGAAAGAGAGAGAGCATACATGTGCACATACAAGCAGGGGGAGAGGAGCAGGGGCGGAGCAAACTCTGTGCTGAGCAGGGAGCCCGGTGCGCGACTCCATTCCAGGACCCAGAGATCATGACCTGAGCTGAAGGCAGATGCCTAAGTAAGCCACCCAGGTACCCCTAAAATAAAATTTTAAAAACAACAGGCCTGTGGTGGGTTTTTTTTTTTTCATGATTAGAAACACCATAAACAAAGCCAAAGAACTGAAATTTGAAAAAAATTTGTAAATACAAACAGCTCTCTATATAAAGAAATGTTTAAAATCAACATAAAAAGAGACCAAAACTCAATAGAAAATGGGAAAATCCATAAGTAGACTGTTTACAAAAAAAAAAAGATATAAACGTGGTCCTTTAACATATGGAACATTGGTCAATCTTGTAAACATACAAATTACATACGCCCTGCCCAGCACCAGGCCGGCATCAAGTACAGGCATGGCCACGCTGCTGGTGAGGCTGGGGTGGGGGCTACAGGCAGCACGTCCCGGGGCATCCCCAGGGTCCTCATGCTCCAGAAGGAACCTGCAGGCCCCGTGGGAGCGGCTGAGCAGCCAAGCTGCATGCCCCCAGGAGCCCTCCGCAAGGTAGACCTCCATGGGCACCTCTGTGACCTGTGGGGGTTTCTGGAACAAACCCCTGTGAGGAGAAGCCCAAGTGCAGACAGAATGTGTGAGGTACCGGCCTTGGAAAGTGGGAGGGATTTCTCCTGGGAGACCACACGGCATCTCATCACTCATGGCATCTCATCACTCATGCAAAAAAAACAAAGGACACCAGTGACGGCAAGACTAGGTGGGGGGGGGGGTGCAAGGGATGGGGTGCAAGGGATGGGGGGGCGGGAGCGAGGGCATGTGGGGTGCGGGGGGGTGTGGGGGAGGTGGGTATGTGGGGGTGGGGGGTGCAGGGAATGGGGGTGCATGGGGGTGTGCAGAGGGGCAGGGGTGTGGGGGCTGGGGTGTGTCAGGGGTGGGGGTAGGGGGCCAGCAGTGCCCCAGCAGAACAGAAAACTGATTCAGGCAAAAATTATCCACAACAGAAGGGATGCCTGGAGGAGCTCCATCGGTGAAGCGTCTGCCTTCATCTCAGGTCATGACCTCAGGGTCCTGGGATCCAGTCTGGCATGGGGCTCCCAGCTCAGCAGGGGGCCTGCTTCTCCCTCTGCCTCCCCCTGTCGTGTTTTCTCTCTCTCTCTAATAAATGTTAAATCCATTATCCACGAACACTCATCTAGTCCATCAGTTGGTCAGCACGGTAACAGGGTCAGGAGGATGCATGCTTGCAGCCACAAGGGGAGAAGCGTCAGCAAGTGCGCAGGGGAGGCTGGGGGGGGGGCGCGAGGAGGGCTGTCCCGCTGAGAGTAGAACAAGGGCCGCTGAGAGTAGAACAAGGGCCGCAGCGGGCACCTCCTGACGCACAAGGGCTCAGCATTGTTCTGCGCAGTTTTCTTGTCAGGGGTACATGAGACACCTCAGGAAGCCCAGACTGACAGAACCTGTGAAATACCCACCCATATGTTTCAAGAATGTCAGAGTCTCCGATTGAACGAAACAAACACACAGCTCGCCTCGAGGTGACCTGGGATCCCTTCCCCGTATAGGACATGTTGGTACACCCCAGGATATCTGAGTGAGGCCTGCACGGCCATGGTGGCACCACCTCAACAGGGACTCGCCAGCTCCTGTCATTAGGGTCATGTCACAGAAGTGCTTCTGGTACAAGATACCATGTGCTCAGCAGCACAGAGGCATCACGCCTGCAAGTTACAGCTTCCCGGTTAGACCATGCATGTGCATGTGCAGGGGTGTGCATGTGAGCGCACATGGAGACACACAGGGGAGAGATGCGCACCCAGGAGCTCGGGGCAACGCTGCTGTGCTTTCATGTCCATCTCAAACCATGTCAAAAACTATTTCTAGGAACGCCTGGGGAGCTCAGTGGTTGAGTGTCTGCCTTTGGCTCAGGGCATGACCCCGGGGTCCTGGGATCAGGTCCCGCATCGGGCTCCCTGCATAGAGTCTGCTTCTCCCTCTGCCTATGTCTCTGCCTCTCTCTGTCTCTCATGAATAAAATCTTTAAAAAAAAAAAAAAAAAGAAAAAGAAAAAGAGCAAAGACCCCAGGCTGGCAGAGCAGCGAACAAGTGCTATACTGGCTCACCATCTGCAGGGCCCCAGGAAAAACGCCCTCGGGCTCGCTGAAGCCTGAACACACACCCACCCATGACCCAGAGACTCCACTTCACGATTACCCAGAGGTGTACCAGGGCCTCATGGCAGCTGCATCACAGCGACCAAGAATACACCAGCCAGCCCGGCTCCACCAGGGGACGGTGCCCCTCGCCAGAAATCAGCGTGGGCAGAGCGGCAGCACATTACGCCCACCGAATGAGGCCTGACCCAGGAGAGCAGCTGGGTGTGGTAGCACTCACAGGAGCGCTGGGAACACACAGAATCAAATGCATGGCGGGGAAACCACGATGATGCTGGCCTCTGAAAGGTAGGAAGGGGCATGGGAGAACTTTCTAGAGCAACGGACAAGACCTCTGCCCTGATATAGGAATGAGTGACACATGTGCATACGTGTGTATAAACTCAGCAAACACGACCACATGTGTACGTCCTGACGTAGCCTAAGAATGAGCTCCAAGACCAGAATCTAACAGGAGACGCGCATGTGAGGCGGGCAGGGGGCTCGTGTCTGCCCCCGACGTTGGGCTCAGGGTCAGACACACAGTGAAGCAAACACCGGGAGCTCGTGGCAGGATCTTGGTGTTCACATGGAACTCAACACTGAGGTACCGACATTGTCATAAATTCGGTGCTGGGGAAAAACACACTTGGGCAGCAACAGGGCAGCGCCAAAGGAAAACTGGCCTCCGGGTAATATCAGGGAACTAATTTTGTCCTTTTCGCTAGGTATAGAAATGGTTATGTAGCAGAGTTTACTCTAGGGACTACGGTAAAGCACCGAGTGCTCTGAAACATCGACCCCAGACATCAGGATGTGGTCCTGCAAACACCTGAGAGGAAAGCGGGACAGACCGTTGACAACTGCTACCACTCAAAGCTAGTTTCATAGGTGTTCACTGTCCTCTTGTTCCAGCTTTTGTTCAAGACATCTCATGAGAAAAATGCAAAGACACAAACAGAAGTACCTGGGTCTGACGCATGTGGGGCTCAGTCCTCCCGTCCACCTGGACGCTGGGCACCAGGTGGGCACAGGCTGAGGCCGGCCTGCCCGGGCCCATGCCGTCAGGGCGCAGGGGCTGCTGCTGGGAGCCTCACTGCCGGCCAGCACTGCTCTCCCACGGTCATCGCCTGAAATGAGAGAAAGTGGCCATCAGGACAACACGTTCCAGCGCAGGGAGAAAGATGGGGACAGAGTGGCGAGCGCGTGCGGCAGCCTCCCGCCAAGCAGCGAGGGCCCCAGGACAGGTCCAGGGCAGCGTCCTCCACCTACAGAAGTGCCCTCGCTTTAGAAATCCTCCTGAGAACTAGGGCATGCCAGTCTAACGACCCCATGTTGGGTGGCTCCAAATCCCAGATCTCAAGGGCCCCAGGAGGGCAGGGGTCCGAGTCCACAAGCCCTAATGGAGGTCACAAGCCCTAACTGCCAGGTGGAGCGGGTAGCCCGGGTTCCAGCCTGCGGGCTCAGCATGCCCACTCGCCTAGGCCCGCAGGGTGGGGGAGCCACTAACTAGTTAGAGGCCCCGCCCACCACGGGCTGAGGGATGGCGGGCCTTCTATGCTCACACCAGGGCCCCCCAGACACCAAGTCACCCGTGCAGTCAGCACATGCAGGTCACTTTCTCGCCTCACCTGGTCACCTACCCAGGTAACGGGGATAAGTGCCATCGTCCCGGCTAGACAAGGCTCGTGGGCGGTAAGGGCCTGTCTTGCTCTCCTCTGATATTTTGAGCATGGCAGACGCTTTAACTCAACACTTGTTGAATTCAGCTGGTTTTCCACAAACTGATTAGTTTTAAATGTACGGGAGTATTTGTTCTGTCAAACAATCCTACAGTAAGTCAACGGGGAACAGCCAGATCTTAGAGATAAACGCCTCACTTCAGCTTGAATAAACCCAAGGTTTGCAGACTGGATTTGCTTCGAGACAGAAACACATGCTGGAACATAAGGACGGCCGTTCAAGACTCCCTTCACCTCGGGCCCTGATGCCGGGAAGGCGGGCAGGCCAGGCGACAGGGTGACAGTGAGCGGAGATGGCAGCGCAGAGAGGGCATAGAGTGGGCCAGGGCATCTGCAGGTCATCCCCTGGAGCCCAAGGCCTCATAACCCACTATCTACTAGGACACGCCCGGTGACCCCGCCTCAGGAGACCTCGAGTGACACCACACATACACACGTGCACATGGTCCAGGGACACCCACCCCCACGCGGCCCCCTGTACAAATGCGGGAGACACCCCTCTTTGCAGCCTGTCCCCTCCCCTGGGCGCCAGGACACCTCCCTGTTTGTGACTGACGGCCCCAGGACATCTCTGTGAAGCACCTCTGCCATCCTAGGGATGCCCCTGCAGCCTGTGCCCCCGTCCATGAGCCAGGCCACACCTCCCCCCAAAGCCCCCTCCCCCAGAGCCCAGGCCCCCCCACCTGTTCCCTACACTACTGGGAGGCCCCCCTCAACCTGTCCTCCCACACACAGCTCTCTTCCAGGGGCCCCACCACCACCCTGCTGCGGGTGACCCCTCAATCGGCCACGGCCTCCCTCCAGCCTCAAACCCGGGGCTGCCCCCAGTATGGTCCCAGGCCCTGACCCGGTACCCCCACTCTCCAGCTCGGGCTCTCCCCGGTCAGGCCTCCTGCTGTTCCACGACCCAGTTCTGTAGCTGCGGGAGGGAGACACCCCCGCTGCCTGGCTCTCCCCAGGCAGCTCCAGACTCGGGGCCCCAGCCTCTTCCCCCGAGGCCCCTTCTTCCTCCACACACCCTGTCACCCACACGGCAGCAGGCACACGCCCCATTGTAGGAACCCCTACAGCCGCGAGCACCCCCAGAGACACGGGCACCCGCGCAGCCTCAGTGGCTGACCCGCTGGCTCTCCTCCACAGGCCTTCGGCACCGACCGTTCCGTCCACGGGTCCTGCAGCCCCCACAGTAGCAGGTACCTCCGTCACCCCTCTCTGTCCCCACGCCCCTGAGGCATCCCTAGAGTCAGCATCAGCCAGCATCACAGGCACCTCAGCAGCCTGTCTCCCTAATAAGCCTGAGGGCACCCCTGGGCCCAGCCTGTCCCCCCTGGGCCCTGGCATCCTGATGGTGCTGGGCACCCCCTGCCCTGTGGGAGCCCAGGTGTCTGTGTGTCCTGGCACTGCCTCCCTCTGCCCCCACAGGCCTGCGACACCTGCGGAAGTGCACTCCTCCCAGGCAGGCCTCAGTGTCCTGGGGGCCATGGGCACCCCGCCTGCTGCGGACACCCCCGCAGTCAGCCTCCGCCCAGGCAGGCCTGAGAACGCCCCGGAGCCGGCCTCCACCCCTAGAGAATCAGGTTCCCCAGCAGCTGCAGGTGGCTCAGCAGCCGCAGGAGCCCTGGTGCTCGGCCTCCTTGCCCAGGATCTCAGGACATCTCCGGGGCCTGTCTCCTCCCCAACCAGCCCTGGTGCTGCAGGGACCCCAAGAGCCTGCCTCCTTCCCCATGGCCTGGGGAAAGCTGCAGAACCAGCATCCTCACCCACAGACCACAGTCCCCCAGGGGCCACGGGTCCCGCAGCGTCATGAACCCTTGACCACAGGTTCCAGACCTCACTGGAGCTGCCTTCCCGACACGCAGGGCCAGACACCCACACGGCGGCAGGCCCCCTGCCAGGCCCAGGCACACCTACCGCTGCAGGTACCCTAGCCAGGGCACACCTGTGCTTGGGCAAAACTGTGGCCTCGGGCATCCCCTGGGGGCCAGACGAGCCCACAAACTGTCTTCTCCTGCACAGACAGGACATGTTGCCACAGCCAGCCTCCTGATCCTCAGCCCCGGGTACCTCCAAAGCCGTGGCCAGGGCGTCCTGTTCCCCCACAGCCTGCCTCCTTTCCCATAGGCCCACAACGTTCCCGTTGCCTGTGTCCCCCTGGGGGACCCCGGGCACCGCGTCAGCCGGAGGCACCCCCAGGGCCTGCTGCCTCTCCCACGGGCCTGCGGTGCCCCCATAGCCTGCCTGTTCCCCCAGAGCTCCTGGCAGCAGTACAGCCTGGGACACCCCCACCGGCTGCTCAGCCCCCCACAGACCTGGCACGCTCCCACAGCCGGTGTCCTTCCCCATTCCCGGCCCTACCCCCCATGGGCCCGGAGCACCCCCAGAGCCCACCTCCTGTGTGGCACGACCACACATCTCTGCAGCGTGGATGGCTGCCCAGGGCCCTGGATCACCTCCGGAGCCTGTCTCTACCCACACAGTCTGTTCTCTGTCCCTGAATCCTGGGTCACCCCCACATCTGGTTTCCTCCACCGTAGCACAAGGCACCCCAACCGGTTGTCCAGTGCCCCATATGCCAGGAACAACCCCGGAGCCCATCTCTTCCGCAGCCTGCATCCTCCGCCACATGTCCAGGGCACCCGCAGGGGTGGCTTCCCCTTCCAAGCCTCTGGGTGCCCCCACGGCATGGGGCACCCTTGCAGCCTGTCCACTTCCCCACAGGCCTGGGGTGTCCCCGCAGACTGCCTCTCCAGCTAACGCCCTGGGCACCAGCGCCGACTGCCCCCTGTCCCATGGACAGCCCACCTCTCTCTGCATGGCCTCAGGCCACCCAGTGGCCCGGGGCACCCCCACAGCCTGCCCCCTCCCCAGCATGTGGGGGACAAGCCCACAACTGGTGGCCAGGGTGGTGGGCACACCCCCAGGGAGCAGCCCCACAGCCTGTTGCTGCCCGCACCAGCCAGCCCCTGGCCCAGGAGCGGCGGACAGTCCTGGTGCCCGGGGGGCCACCGCAGCCTGCCCCTTCACCCAGGGCCCCGTGAGGCCAGCGCGGCTTGTCTCCACCCAGGAAGCCCGGCCCGGGATGCCCCTTTCGAGCGGGCCCTCCACCGGCACCGGGTGGAGCTGCACCCTGCTGCCCGCCCCGCACCCCGAGGCCGCCCGCACGGCCTGCACCTTTAGCCACAGTTCCAGGATGCTCTCGGGGCCCGCGGAGCCCGGCCGCCCCTTCCTCTCGCAGCCCCGGGGGCTCGGGCCCGCCGCCCCCTCCCTCTCCGCCTCCCCCCCGGCCCCGGTCACCCACACCGACCCCACCGGCCCCACCACCTGGGGCTCCCCAACCGCGCCGTCCACCCACACGACCCCCGGGGCCCCCGCTACGGGGGCTGCGGCGCCAGGGCTCCCCGCCGCCACCGGCCCCCCGGCCCCCGCCGCGGCCCCCGTCCCCGGCCGCTGCCCGAAGCCGGGCGGCCTGTCCGCGCTCACGCAGCGCGCCTCCCACGCGGCGCCCCGGGCACGACGGCCCGCTCCCCGGCCTCGCGGCGTCCCCGCGGGGCACCGCCTCCCCCACGGCTGCCCGCGCCCCCGCCCCGGCCGGCTGGGCCCCACGCAGCGGCCGGCCGCCCCGCTCATGGCCGCAGGCCCGCGCGCTCCCCTACCGCCTCCCCGGCCGCACGCGCGCACGCACCCCGCCGCCGCCGCCGCCGCCGCCGCCCCGACCCCGCCCCGGGGACCCCCACACGCGGCAGGAGCGCGGTGCTCGGGCGGCTCGGCGTCCCCAGCGCCCGGGGCGCGGCTCCCGGCGCGACCTCCCGGAACCCCCCAGTCCCGGCCCGAGCCCACCTGCCTGCGGCGCGGCGGCTACCGGGAGGCCGCCTGGGAACCCGCTAGGCCGAGCTTCCGGCCGCTCGCCCGGTCGCCATAGCAACGGGCGCGGGGCGGCCTGGGAGCCGTTAGGGCTCTCGAGCCAGCCAGGGGTCCCCGGGCGGCGTGGCGGCGGGCCGGGCAGCCACCGCTCATGGGGCCGCGGCCGGGGCCGGGGCCGGGGCCGGGGCGGCTGGGGCAGAGACTCGGCTATCAGCGTAGGGCCGGCGCCGGGGGCGTGGAGAGACGGGCGCACAGGGGCAACGCCGACGCCGTATGGCTGCCTGAGGCCTCCGTAGCGCCGCGGACCGCCCCTGCCGTCAGCCCCGCCCCTGCTGCCCGCCCCGCCCCCGCCGACCCCGTCGGCCCCGTCGGCCCCGTCCCTGCTGCCGGTCCCCCCGCCCCTGCTGCCGGCCCCGCCCCCTCAGGCCCCGCCCCTGCTGCCCCCCCGCCCCCACCAGCCCCCGCCCCTGCTGCCAGCCCCGCCCCTGCTGTCGACCCCGCCGGAAGCAGCCGCGCCCCGCCCGGCAGGCTGTCCCGCCCGGAGCCCCAGCCTCTCGGGGTCCCGGCCTGCCCAGCGCGGCGCGCTGTCCAGATGGCGGGCTGCGAGGAGGTGAGCGTGTCCGGCTTCGAGGAGTTCAGCCGGGCGGTGGAGCAGCACCACGGCAAGACCATCTTCGCCTACTTCACCGGCTCCAAAGACGCCGGGGGCAGGAGCTGGTGCCCCGACTGCGTGCAGGGTGAGGCAGGGGGCGGGGGCGCCCGTGGCTAGTCCTCCTGCTCCCCCCGCTCCAGCCCGTCCAGCACCCCGGCCCCTAGCCCTGCTGCCCCCCACCCCCGCCTTCCCGCTCCACCCCAACACCCCGTCCAGCACCCCGGCCCCTAGCCCTGCTCCCCCCACCCCCGCCTTCCCGCTCCACCCCAACACCCCGTCCAGCACCCCGGCCCCTAGCCCTGCTGCCCCCCACCCCCGCCTTCCCGCTCCACCCCAACACCCCGTCCAGCACCCCGGCCCCTAGCCCTGCTCCCCCCACCCCCGCCTTCCCGCTCCACCCCAACACCCCGTCCAGCACCCCGGCCCCTAGCCCTGCTCCCCCCACCCCCGCCTTCCCGCTCCACCCCAACACCCCGTCCAGCACCCCGGCCCCTAGCCCTGCTCCCCCCACCCCCGCCTTCCCGCTCCACCCCAACACCCCGTCCAGCACCCCAGGCCCCTAGCCCCGCTCCCCCCACCCCCGCCTTCCCGCTCCACCCCAACACCCCGTCCAGCACCCCGGCCCCTAGCCCTGCTGCCCCCCACCCCCGCCTTCCCGCTCCACCCCAACACCCCGTCCAGCACCCCGGCCCCTAGCCCTGCTGCCCCCCACCCCCGCCTTCCCGCTCCACCCCAACACCCCGTCCAGCACCCCGGCCCCTAGCCCTGCTGCCCCCCACCCCCGCCTTCCCGCTCCACCCCAACACCCCGTCCAGCACCCCGGCCCCTAGCCCTGCTGCCCCCCACCCCCGCCTTCCCGCTCCACCCCAACACCCCGTCCAGCACCCCGGCCCCTAGCCCTGCTGCCCCCCACCCCCGCCTTCCCGCTCCACCCCAACACCCCGTCCAGCACCCCGGCCCCTAGCCCTGCTCCCCCCACCCCCGCCTTCCCGCTCCACCCCAACACCCCGTCCAGCACCCCGGCCCCTAGCCCTGCTCCCCCCACCCCCGCCTTCCCGCTCCACCCCAACACCCCGTCCAGCACCCCGGCCCCTAGCCCTGCTCCCCCCACCCCCGCCTTCCCGCTCCACCCCAACACCCCGTCCAGCACCCCGGCCCCTAGCCCTGCTCCCCCCACCCCCGCCTTCCCGCTCCACCCCAACACCCCGTCCAGCACCCCGGCCCCTAGCCCTGCTGCCCCCCACCCCCGCCTTCCCGCTCCACCCCAACACCCCGTCCAGCACCCCGGCCCCTAGCCCTGCTCCCCCCACCCCCGCACCCCATCCAGCTCCTTGGTTCCCTAGCCCTGCTGGTGTGTCGTCCCCCCCCCCCCCCGGCACTCCATGCCTGTGAATCAGCCATCCTGCCTCTCCAGGGCGCTCAGGACGCTCGGGCACGGGTACTGCTGCTCTCAGGGCAGGTGCAAGCCTGCCTACTCACCCAGATGTCATTTCTCTGTGCCACGTTCCACAGCTCATATGTAATTATTTATACCTTTTTTGTTTTGTTTTCCAAGCTGAGCCTGTGGTGCGAGAGGGGCTGAAGCATATTAGTGAAGGATGTGTGTTCATTTACTGCCAAGTGGGAGAGAGACCTTAGTAAGTGTGCATGCCTTCCCTTTACTTCCCAGACATGGCTCTGGACCTTTGCAGACTTAGGCGGGAGGGTCCTCAGGAGTGGGGAAAGTCGTGCCATTAGAAGTGAATCTACAAATTTTGAGCATTTAGCTGCTATGTTACAGGTGACGTCAATGAATTTGGCTTAGTATTAGTTCAGAACTTAGCAGTCTACGTTTATTTTAGATCATAGTCACGCTTTTTTTTTTTTAATTTTTATTTATTTATGATAGTCACAGAGAGAGAGGCAGAGACACAGGCAGAGGGAGAAGCAGGCTCCATGCACCGGGAGCCCGACGTGGGACTCGATCCCGGGTCTCCAGGATCGCGCCCTGGGCCAAAGGCAGGCGCCAAACCGCTGCGCCACCCAGGGATCCCGATCATAGTCACGCTTTAAAAGACGTGAGGACGCCTGGGTGGCTCAGCAGTTGAGCTTCTGCCTTCTGCTGGGGTCGTGATCCTCTGGCTCCTGTGAGGAGCCCACTTCTCCCTCTGCCTGTCTCTGCCTCTGTTTCTCATGAATAAATCTTTAAAAAAAGAAAAAAAAACTGTGCATAGTCCCAAAGTCATAACCCTCAAGGTTTGATGTTTACAACAAAAACAGTGATTACTAAAAGACTAAATGTGGGAATATATCAAATATTAAGTAACCTACAAGAAACCATGATCACTTTTTCTTTTCAAAACAGTTGGAAAGATCCAAATAATGATTTCAGAAAAAACCTGAAAGTAACAGCAGTGCCTACACTACTTAAATATGGAACAGTAAGTGTCTTTGTTTTCATCATGCTGGGGCTACAATTCACCACATCAGAACTCTTTGTTCTGGATTCAAATTTGAAAAGATCTTGGCGTTTCATCTCAAATATCACATTGGTGTTCAGAGTGCATTAAAAATACACAGACTGGCTGTCCATCCCTGGGGCTAATTCCAATAGACTATTAATAATGCAAATATCTAAACATTTGATCTTCATGCTTTGTAAAAGGCACTCCATTTTAAAATTCTCTAAGTGCCGCTCACTGCTCAGAATGGTGGTTAACACCTCATTTCTTACACTAGCACAGTACTTGTTTCCCATTTTACCCAGAATCCTCATTGAAAGTTTAGCCATGGCCCTGGCATTCTAAATTAGAGAGCTGAGGGGAGGGAATAGCACTGGGCTTGCTGTCTCTTGTCTTAGTATGCAGAGCCAAGTAGCTTAACTATTTCATAAGACTTGTTACAACTAGTTGATAGTTTTTGAAAGGCGGTAAGTTCTCTGCTGTGAGATTTGTGTCACTCCAGGTGGAACACCACATTCCCTCCCGATAACAGTTTTGTAGCTGTCAGGTAAGATTAGACTGTTCTTCTCTTACAGCCTCAAAAACTGGTGGAATCTGAGTGTCTTCAGGCCAATCTCGTGGAGATGTTGTTCTCTGAAGATTAAGATTTGATGATAGCAATTGTGTTTTGATTTCCTGATTTGCTCTAGTATAAAGGCAATTGCATACTTGCTTTGAATAAATAAATTTATTTTGCAATAAATGATGTAAAAAATGATTTATGTCTAAAAAGTGCCATTAAGGGACGTCTGGGTGGCTCAGTTGGTTGAGCGTCTGCCTTCAGCTCAGGTCATGATCTCAGGGTCCTGGAAGCTCCACATCGGGCTCCCTGCTCAGCCTGGAGTCTGCTTCTCCCTCTGCCCTTCCCCCTGCTTGTGTTCTCTCTGTCAAATAAAATCTTTTTTTTTTTAAGTGTTATTAAAATGCTCATAAACTCTCAATTTGCTTGTAATACATGGGAATCTTTAAGATGTAGGTAAGATAAGTCTTCAAGGGTGACAGTAATAGCACAAGGGAATGGATTATGGAGGTGACAGAAATGTCTAAAAGTCTCTACCAGTACAGAAAACAAATTCCAAATCTCAAAAGGAGTTAGCATCTTTTACCATAAATGCTACAAATTTATAAAGAACTGTTACTCCTAAAGCATCCTCTTTGGCTCTAGAAAGTAGAACTGAACCTAACCAGTGGAGAGCAGAGCACACTTAATCCAGCCTCTACTCACTGCAGGCACTTTGCTTTTACTATGCTGGATGAGGTGGGTGGCAGAGAGAGCTTGGAGACTGTTATATAACCTCATAGTGGCAAGAGCCCCAATTCATGCATAAGTGACACTGATGAGCAGTTCTGAGCTGTGTAACCGTAGAAAGCCTGGTTCTGCAGGTGAACCGTGAACAGATGAAGCACATGCCACATAAATGTTAGTGGTTGGATGATCGCACATATTTGAGGCTTCTCATCCTTATTCCAGTCCAAAGTCAAGAGTCCAATTAGAAGTTAGCCACTGATCTATCTCCCCACCATCAGTAGGTCAGTGACTGCCAACAACTGTTTCTTGAAGCCCTCTCGCACAGCAAGTGGTGATGTAACTCCTTCCTGCAGATCCTGCTCTCATTTAAGGAAATCACTGACTCTGTTCCTCTTATTCTGTAGACAAGGAGACAGGAAGGTCAGAGGCAGTGGACTTCCCCAGGCCCCACTCTATGTGGGGAACAGAGCTCGGCTCAGAATTCGGGATGTTTGGTGCCCCACCCCCCACCTTACCCCATCCCTCACTGCATCCTTGGGCTGGTTTAAATCACCTAACATTTGTTTTTATTCAGTTGGTTAAGTACTAGTAACTTACAAATTCACAAGGAAACCAAAGTAGAACAACGCTGGTTGACAGAAGTAATCTATTAACAAGAGAAAGTTATTTGGATGAAACAGTACACTAAAGCTTCTAGGTGCTACCCCCGCGCCAAGGCAGCTAGAGAGTCTGTGTGTTCATGGTACAAAAGCAGCATGTACACGTCAGGACCGGGGTGGCCCCAGGGTTTCATTTTCCCGCCGCGTGGTTTTGCTGCTGCTGCTCGGCCAGGGCTTGCTGAAGGCGCATCCGCTTCCGCGAGTAGTGCTGCCAATGCAGAATCTGCTGCTCGTCAATGAACTTGGCGCACTGAGCATTCACCAGCTCCTTGCGGAAGTGTTCATACTGAAGCAGCTCTAACATGTGCAGACACTGAGGGTACCTGGATTTAAGGGCATAAGTTAGTCATCCACGTGATCTGGTCAACAGCACCAAGCTGCAGTCCAGTCACTCACTCAAAGTGATCTTGGAACCGGCCGTTTCTAGAACATTGACTCAGGTCACTTCTCTTTCCCTGCTAATGCAGAGAAGCCAGGGAGCAAGAGCTAGCAAGATGCAAAATTTTCAAAAAGTAAAAAAACAAGTTCAGAAAGATTCAACAATCTGCCCAAGACCACACAATAACTGGTAGGCAGAATCAAGCTTTGAGGGCAAACCAAGCTACTCTATTCTAATGGCATCCAAGGTGAGGAAGATGAACACTCTATTTTAGTAATTATCTGTTTAATTGATAACTACTGGTTTTCCATCAATAGTGATAAAGACAACTTTTATTCAAAAGTGAGTCCATTTCACAAAGAACTATGTACGAACATTGTGTTCTAGAGTCCCATGAGGATAGAGCAATTCTGGAATTACTTCACATACACTCTAAACCTGAGCAACCAAGTAAGTGAATAATACACTGTAGATAACAAAAGCCAAGTTTCCGACTATGAGAAAAGGAGTTACCGGGAAAGGCGGGAGGCTAGGATGGACCTATGTTATGGAGCAGCAGTTGAAAACATCAGCATGATCGCTTTTCAAGATTAGAGGCAGACACAATAATACATACACACACACACACACACACACACACACACACACACACACACCTTCCAAAGATGGCCTAGAAGCAAGGACCCTGTGGTACCAACAAGCACACTCAGCGCCCAGATCATACATTTCCAACAGCATCTTCCAGCGTTCCATGGGGGAAATGGCTGATTCCAGGGCTAAGGCATAAGATGAGCTGGGGACATTTATGTAGTACCAGAAAGCCAAGTACTCAAAACACTAAGGGCATAAGTCCCAGGTACTCAGGAGCCAACCTGAAGGGGCTCCTACAGGCCAAATCTGCACCAAGAAAACACATGATTACAATCCAAGAGTCCACACGGATATAACTTTTAAATAAACAGGGAATAAGAGAATGTTCCTTCCTTATGCCTAAACTACAACAAAAAAACGTAGAAAAAATTATAGAAAATCACAGTAAAAATCATTCCATAGAACAGTAAAAATTGTTCCATAGAGCCAAAATTAGGGGGTAGAAGGATGACGTGAAACAAAGTGCTTACATAGTCTCAAAAAATTTCCTCACAAGATATTTACTAAATACAAAGGAAAACTAGTAACTTGACATGGAGAAACCTGGCAGCCACCACCTCAACCAAGGGATCAAAATTAACATCACAAGTAGTAGGTCAGGTTGACTTCCTAGGAACCCTGGTGGGATATACCAAGAAGCTTACAGTATCACTTTGGGGTCACAGGTATAAGGGAAATAGTACCAGGAAACTCAGGTTAAGACTAAGAAGACCCAGAGACAAAATGTCACCTAGAAGCCTAGACCGGGTACTGCCTCAGACACAGCACATTAATGAGACAGCCGACAAAATCAGAATGGGGGGACACATCGAGTCCCACATCAGGGTCCCTGCATGGAACCTGCTTCTCCCTCTGCCTGTGTCTCTGCCTCTCTCTCTTTCATGAATAAATAAAATCTTAAAAAAAATCAGAATGGTCTGCAGACTACAGAATATATTAACATCAATGTTCTCAGGAAGATGTTAACATTTACAATATCTGGGTGAAGAATATACAGGAATTCTCTTTACTATTTTTTTCCAGCTATTTTGTACGTGACATTATTTCAAATAATGGACTCAAAGTGAGTCCATTAAGAAAACTTTTTTTTTTTAAGATTTTATTTATTCATGAGAGACACAGAGAGAAAGAGAGGCAGAGACACAGGCAGAGGGAGAAGCAAGCTCCATGCAGGGAGCCCGACGTGGGACTTGATCCCGGGTCTCCAGGATCATGCCCTGGGCCAAAGGCAGCACTAAACCACTAAGCCACCAGGGCTGCCCAAGATAACGTCTACAGAGAACACACAGAGGCGTAACTGTGCAAGCAGTATACAAATGGCTGAAGTGTGAAAACAGTATATTACTAGGGATTCTCGAATTTTAATGTGCATATGAATCATTTCTTAAGTGCAGATTTTTTTTTTTAAAGATTGTATTTATTTATTCATGAGACAGAGAAAGAGAGAGAGAGGCAGAGACACAGGTAGAGGGAGAAGCAGGCTCCATGCAGGGAGCAGGATGTGGAACTCAATCCTGGGTCTCCAGGATCAGGCCCTGGGCTGAAGGCAGGCGCCAAACCGCTGAGCCACCCAGGGATCCCCTTAAGTGCAGATTCTGACTGATCAGGTAGGTCGGGGTGGGGCCTGAGCTCTGCATTTCTAAACAGGCTCCCAAGTGACAACAATGTTGCTGCTCTGAGGACCACACCAGTGGGATATGGGGTCCTTCTAAAAAAGTACACTGTCTACGCTCCAAAGGTACAATTGCTTGTAGCTGTTGGCAGCTACGCCTGAAATGCCCCTGCTCACACCTAACCTGGCTCTTCCCTTTCCATGCAGGCATTGGTAGTTAAGAAGATCCAGGTTTGAAGGGTGCCTGGCGGGCTCAGTTGGTGAAGCATCTGACTGGATTTCAGCTCAAGTCGTGACCTCAGGGTCGGGGGATTGAGCCCCTGTTGGGCTCTGCACTGGGCATGGAGTCTGCTTCAGATTCCCCCTCTCCCTCTGCTCATCCCTCCCCCACTCCTCTCGAAAGAAAGAAAGAAAGAAAGAAAGAAAGAAAGAAAGAAAGAAAGAAAGAAAGAAAGAAAGAAAGAAAGAAAGAAAGAAAGAAAGAAAAGAAAAAAAGAAAGAAAAGAAAGAAAAGAAAAAAAGAAAGAAAAGAAAAAAGAAAGAAAAGAAAAAAGAAAGAAAAAGAAAAGAAAAGAAAAGAAAAGAAAGAAAGAAAAGAAAAGAAAAGAAAAGAAAAGAAAAGAAAAGAAAAGAAAAGAAAAGAAAAAAGAAAAGAGAGACCTGGGTTTGAAGACCACCTCTGCCACTCACCAGATGGGGGACCTCATAGAAGGTCCCCAACCTCTCTCAGGTTTAGCTTCCTCATCTGAAAAATAAACTAATCTGACATCCAAGAGAATGGTCTCAAGTGGCATTTAGCCAATAAATGGAATTTAAACAAGCAGTGATCATATCTCAAACCTGCAAAATACAATGCTCAGAGTACATTAAATAACAGTATGAGAGGGATCCCTGGGTGGCGCAGCGATTTAGCGCCTGCCTTTGGCCCAGGGCGCGATCCTGGAGACCCGGGATTGAATCCCACGTCGGGCTCCTGGTGCATGGAGCCTGCTTCTCCCTCTGCCTATGTCTCTGCCTCTCTCTCTCTCTCTCTCTCTCTTTCTCTCTCTCTCTCTCTGTGTGTGACTATCATAAATAAATAAAACAGTATGAGAATAGATATTTTTATGAGCTACAATTACAGCATTAACCAATAAGAGGAAATAAAAGATACAAAAGGCAAGTTCTGCACTTAGATTTTTAAAAAGTAAGACATAAATGGAGAGCTCAGCTAATAGCACCAACAAAGAAAAAGAACAACTGAAAGTGAAGGGCCGAGGGGACAAGGAGTTCCCAGCAAGCCAGCAAAAGCATCCTCCCCCCTCTCCCACCCAAACACAGTAGCATCAACTCCAGGGTCATGCCCACGTGAAGAAATGTATCTGCTGCAGTGTACCCTGACCACATCTAAAGGCCTGTGTTTAGATCTTGGCTGCGCAGTGGAAGGCACAACTGCCAAATAGCCAAAGGAGGGTGCTGAGAAGTGGCTGAAGGTGGTGAGAAGCACGGATGTGAGGAGCCCACCATGGGTGCAGGTGCTGGCTCCTGCTGAAGCAGGTCAGGTGGTGCAGGCCTGCGAGGCGGCTCATCTCAGCTAGGAATCGACCTGGAAGCACAAGGACCTGCAGCTATCAGCTCCTCCAGAATGTGGATCATTGTAGGAGACCTGACGATCTTCAAATGTTGGTGACTATGAAACAAACCCTGTGCCTGCTGAACGCTCATATGGGTCAACTTGTGACCCTTCCCAAATGTGAGCCTCCAGACAGGTGCCTCCAGAGGGCACAGAGGGTTCAGGGTTAATTCAGGAACAAAACTGGAAAAATGGGTTGAAGCTACACAGAGATCTATTATGTCCCAAAATAAGGAAAAACTTTCCAGCATCCAGCTAATGGTGCAACTGTACCTAAATGGAGAACAGGTGCTCACTGGACCCATGCAGAGTGTAGACGGCCAGCCCTGAACTCGACCTTGCCTGTGTCTCCAGGTCCAAATGGAGTCTCCAAGTCTACACATGCACACAACAGCTAATGAAAAAGCTTTTCTCCGGATTATTCAATGAATAAGTGGCTGTTCATAAAGGAGCAGTCAGGGTGTACAGGGTCCTGCAGGGAGAAGGATGTGGGTTTTGTGAATCAGTTGACACAGATCAAAAAAGTGACTTGGAAAAAATAATAAAAATAAAAAAAATAAAAAGTGACTTGGATAAAGTACAAGTCTGAATCATTTTCCTATCAAACGTGTTTGTTTAAAAGAAAGACAAGAAGTTCAACTATTGCTTTCTGACTACCTAGTGAAGACAAAGAAGAGGGATGGGTTCAAGGTTGAAACAAGTGTGATGCTTGGCACAGAGGAGGCACAGCAGCTATAGACACACTGGTTTGGGTTTGTTTTTTGGACTTTTTGTTTACAAATTAAAGGCGTGTGGCAACCCATCAGCAAGCAAGTCTATGGGTACCATTTTTCCAACTACATTTGCTCACTTTATGCAGACTTTATGTCTGTCATTATTTGATAATACTCACACTTCAAACTTTTCTTTATCATTGTAGGGTGATCTGTGATCAGACTCCATAAAACCTCAGATGACAGTGTTTTTTAACAATATTTTTAAATTAAGGTATGTACCTTAAGGTATGTTAACATAACCCTTATACGCACTAGAAAACACAAAAACTTGGGTCACTTTATTGCAATATTCACCGCATTGCAGTGGCTTGGAACCACATCGACAGTATCCAAGGAATGCCTGTATTAAGAGTCAGGTAAGGTCACCTTCTCCAGAAAACCTTCCTTCTAAGTACCTGATGTTCTTTAATCTTCAGCTTCAGGCAATACCACTGCATCTACAGACTGTGGGTTCATTAGGGTCAGAAATTCAGTGAGATGGGTGAGTGGTAGACAGATAAAGAGAGACCTGAGAAAAGAGAGAGGATTTTGTTTCACATGCAATGGGAAACCACTGGGAGGTTTTAAGCAAGAAAATATCACGTCATAATTTACATTTTTGAAAGATCAAGTTGGCTTCCCTGTGGAAAACTGTTTTGCTTGGTTTGGCTTGGGGGAGGGAGGACACAGGAGGAAGGTAAGAGCACAAGCAGGGAGAAGCAGGGGGGTGGACACCGCAATAATCCAAGCTGGAGAGGGGGTGGCTTTGTATTAAGGTGGAGGCAACTGAAAGAAGTGGAGAGATTCAAAATATACTTTTTTCCAATGTGAAACGAGAAAATCTGTCAAATATCGGTATTTTTTAATATAATAACTATACACATATTTAGGACTATAAAAATTAAACTTACTTTAGATACTTGGCATATTCTGGTTCTTTCCAGTAAAGCAAGTACTTAAGATAATTAACAAAAGCTTTGTCTTTGAAGTAACCTCTTTGGGCAAGAACTGAAAGGCATAAACAAACAAACAAAAAAATCTGTAGAGCAAACCAATCCTCGGACTACTGATTTGTGACCCCTCACATAAAGCATCTACTTATATAACTTCCCCACCACCAACACACACTAAATGCAGAACATATGTCCCAATTTGTTCTCACACACACCAGTATAAGCATAGCAGTTAATTCCACTGGACTGAGAACATATAAAAATAGGTATCATTAGGAACTGCAGTTCTTCTGCCAGAGATCACTAACAGCTACTCAAGTCAGTAAGAGCTCAAGGACTTACAGTTAAGATAATTGGGGTTGGCTAGGCACTGCACAAATTCCAGCTCCAACTGAAACCGAAGTCGATTTCCGGCATCATCTAGGAGGGAAGTGAGCAAAAATCATCCAAAATAAAGGTGACTAAAAAAATAAATAAATAAAATAAAATATAAAATAAAATATAAAATAAAATATAAAATAAAATAAAATAAAAAATAAAATAAAATAAATAAAAATAAAAATAAAATAATATAAAATAAAAAATAAAATAAAATAAAATAAAATAAATAAAATAAAATAAAGGTGACTATCTAAAGTGCTGGTTTGTAGAAAGAAAACAGCAGTGGAGTGTTCTGAGTATTGCTGAGAGTATCTCTGAAGGCATAAGGCAGGGATGATTGTCCTAAGCTGGATGTGGGAAGAGAGGGCCGTTTCCTCCCAAGTCTAGAGAGCAGGGCCCTGATTAATGAGACCAGTAACTCCTTAAGGAGAAGTCCAAGGAAGCGGGCGCCCCCTGGGCCGGATGTTCACCCTCTGGCAGCCACTCCCCAGGACCTCCAGGGTGACCAGTGGCGGAGGGCTGCAAGCTAAGCAAGAGGAGAGGGCGAGTATGCTCCCGCTAGGGCCTGGCGGGGAGGAGGGACTGGTTCGGGGCGGCAGGATTTGGGAGGCCCGGGGAAGGGGGGGTGTCAGAGCCCGGAGGCTGGGGGGCCAGGGCCTGGGATGTGTCGGGAGGCCGGCGGGTAGGGGCCGGGGGCTCGGGGCCCAGGAGAAGTCGGGAGGCCGGGGGGTCGGGGCCCGGGAGGGGTTGAGGCTGGGGGGTGGTCGGCGTCTGCGCGGCAAGCGAGGAGGAGGTAGCCGCGGACAGGAGCCCCGCCGAAGTCACGCCACACAGGAGTCCTGGGGGAAGCTGGAGGAGGAGGCCAGCCAGCTGTAGCTGTGTTTGCCAGGGCTCCGGCCGCTACCTACCTGTCTCCATAGCGACGGCCGCGGCCATCGCCAGCAAAAGCGCCGAGACGTCACCAGCACGACGAGCAGCTTCCCGGAGGTCCCGGAAGCTGCGGCCCCACTTCCTGTCGCGGGGCAGTGTGGGATGCGGGGCGGGGCGGGGCGGTCCTCTCAGGCCCCGCCCACCGGCCTCGCGCAGACTCGCAAGGGGCGAGGGGCGGAGCTGGGGCGCTCCGAGCGCGGGGGGGTCCTGTCCCCGCCTCCCTGCTCGCCCAGTGACGCAGCCGCGGGGGTCCCGAGCGCCTCCGGGACGCCTACATCGCCTCGGTGGGGTCTCCCGCGGGGGCAGTCCCCAGCCGGGAGAACGCCCAGCGGCCGGAGCGGGGCGGCGCGGCCCGGCGCAGGTGATCCAACCCGCAGGGACCCCCCCCCCCCTTGACCCGAGCGCAGGTGCGGCAGGTGCGGGGTCGGAACTGGGCCAGCCCCCTCCGCCGCGCGCCAGCCGGGTCGCCGCACCGTTGACCCCGGGAGCCCCCTTGCAGCAAGCCAGCACTGGAGGTTCTGCAGGCCCGCGACGCTCCGTCAGCCTGATGGGCTGATGGATAGGGAGGCTGTCGTTCCAACCACCCTCACGATCCAGACTTCGGGGACGGAGCAAACCCGAACCGTGACCACTGGGAGGAAACCCGAGGGGCAAGAAACAGACCTCCATTAATTAACCAGTTGGCCTTTGTGTTTCAAACCAAGCAGGTACTTTGTTTATGCTAAGCCCTGTGCCCTGTACGGGCACCCCCAGTCACACACACTTCCGTACAGGTCAGACTAGATAAAAGTCAACATCTACCATGAGGCGTGATCTCGGAAGGGAACCCGACCCGGGTCTCGCAGAGGGCGGGGAGGGCAGTACTATTCATGGAGCCCCTCCTCTGTGGGCACTTGGACAAGGTAGGCAGGACCCAGGCTCTCAGGAGCTCACACTGGTGAAGGGGCACACGGCAAATGATGAAAAGACCATTTTCTATCGGAATGAGTAACTGAAGGAAACAGGTAATGGGACAGAGAGTCTAGGGAGGGGTTCCTCACTCAGAAGTGTCAGGGAAGGCCTTGGTTAGGGGACTTGGATCTGAGGCTTGTGTGGGTGGACAGTGAGCCGTGCAGGGGTCTGGGGACAGCAATGCAAGGGCTGGACGGGAGCAATCTTGGAATGTTCTGGAACAGAAAGAAGACCAGCGTTGTTGGAGCTATGCGAGGGACAAGCGTGGTACAGGAGAGAGGACATTAGCGAAAGAAGCAGCAGCAAGTTCACAAAGGGTCTTGGAAGCCATAGAAAGGGGCTTGGGTTTTATTCTAAGGTCAATGGGAAGACACCGCAGTGTTTTCAGCAGGGGAGTTGAATGATGCAATCCCATTTTTAGAAATATCTTGGCTTCTGTGTGGAGGATGTAGGATAGGGGCTCTTGACCAGGGGTGATTGTGCCCCCCAGGGAGACATCTGGCTCTCTCTGGAGACATTTTTGTGGCAAATTGAGGGGTGGTGGTGACTCCTGGTGCCTAATGAGTGGAGCCCAGGGATGCCCTAAACCTCCTACAATGTGAAGGTCTCCCTCCCATCCCACCCCCGACAGCAAAGGATCACTCAGCCCCAAATATCAGCAGTACCAACGTTGAAAATTTTGAAGATTCTAGCAGCTGTAGAGGGCTAGAGCATAGTCTTCCAGCTGGGGGGGGGGAAGCACCCCACTTTGTAGCAGGATTTGCTGAGGGAGAGAATTAGAGGTAGTGACCTCTGTCAAAGGTCAAAACAGGGGCTCTCAAGAGGGAGATGTTGGTTTCAAGGAGACCTTACCTCCCTGCTGCCAATGACTTCTGTGATATTTGCCCCTGAGGAAAGACAGGTGGTTCCTAGCTTAGGGTGTTAGTGACCTTGATTCTGCAGGACCTCGTTGCCAGGGGGAGCACCTGCTGCAGCCAGACACAGTGCTAAGTCATTGCTCATGCAACTTTTATTTTTTTAAGATTTTATATTTATTTATTCCTGAAAGACACACAGAGAGAGGCAGGGAGAAGCAGGCTCCCTGTGGGGAGCCCGATGTGGGACTCAATCCCAGGACCCCGAGATCACACCCTGAGCCAAACGCAGATGCTCAACTACTGAGCCACCCATGCAACTTCACCCACGCACCCCTCACGCAACTTCATTTAATGCCAGGCAGTGCCCTGGGCTGCCCAGTGGAATAGTGTCTCAGGCCAAGGGGTGTTATAAAACCCCAAAGGCCACCGTTAAGTCTTCTGACTCAGAAAACTTGTGCTATAAACTAATCATTAGGCTTTGGTGAGCTTACTCATTGTTTTAACATGACAGACCACGTGCATTACATACAGACCTTCTCTTAATTGTGTTTGTTTTTTTGATGAACAAAATAGTTGGTTTTCTCTGGCAGGGTTTCTACTTAATGCTTTCATCACAAAGGTGATATGCATTCAATGTAACATGAAATGATTGAAAAATATGTAAAGGGAAATTTATTAATTTGTCATCATTCCTTTCCATTGCAATCCCATGGGGATAATTAGTGTCAGCAGCCTGGTGCTGAGGTTAATTATTTCATTAATTCATTAATATCAGCCTGGTGCTGATAGTAATACCCTTCCAGACCTTTCTGCATTCACTGCTTCTCTCCCCCTTTCTAGTAGGCTCTGGAAGACTGGCTGGAAGGTCACTGTGGAAAAGCCAAAAGCTGGCTTTCTAGACGATCGATTCTTTCTCTCTCTCTCTCTCTCTCTCTCTCTCTCTCTTTTTTTTTTTTTTTTTTGACCGATTCTCTTGAAAGGATAGAGGCTTCTGGCACCTTCCTTCTGTTTTGTTACACATATTCCATATGAATGGTTTTGTATAGGTTTGTCCCTTTCAAGTTCATTTATCTGTTTCAAAGCTGAAATCCACACAGAGCAAGAAAGTATCCAAAAAAAAAAAAAAAAAAAAAAGACAAGCGTCAGGAAGGAAAAGGGTGTCAGGAGATATTTGTCACCTATACTGTGTTGCATGTCAGATTCCACAGCCTCCGCTCACGTGACCGTGCATGTTAGGGAAGTTTCTCTCTGCCGTGACTTGTGATGTACCTGCAGCAGCCTGTGCAGGTGCTTTGGAAGCTCCAAAGGAGCCCGGGGGCTTCTGTACCTGTGATGTGGCGTCCAAGGCCAAGCCCATCATGGCCTCCAGAAAGCAAAGTGCAGAGTGGCCCCTGCCAGCGACTCAATTAATGGCTCCATGGACTCATCCCTCAGAACCCCCGAGCCTGCGAAGAGCCAGGACTTGCCTTCAGTGCTTGCCAACCCGGTTAGTGTGGCGCTAAGGTCAGCACTTGTCATCCTCATGATCCATCTATTTATGTGCAAACAGAGAACAGCTTTCAAAATTCAGCATGTGTGTGTTGCTGTCAGTTGTGCTGAAAGTACTAGAAGTGGAAGAGCACCTCCCATCCTGCAAGCCATGGGAAGAACCACCGAGGATCCAGCTCTGGCCATCACGTACATGCCCCAGATTCCTAGCACTCTGCTGCTGCTGCCCCTGCCATCCCAGGGCAGCCCAACAAGTACCTGCTCCAGACACTTGATCCAGCTTCTAGGGGCTTCCACACATGGTAGCCTGGACAAATATGTCACTTTTGAGGGGAAGAGGAGGGAGGCGCCTGGGTAGCTTGGTCAGTTAGGCATCTGCTTCTTGACTCCCGCTTGGGTCGTGGTCTCAGGGTTGTGAAGTGGATCCCTGCACCACCAGCTAGACGCTGGGCGTGGACCCTGCTGGAGAGTCTCTGTCTCTCCCCCCGCCCTCAAATATCCCATCACAGTTGATCTTCATGGCACAGATGGAAAAACTGCAGTCTGAGGCAACCAAACACAGTTTGGCAAGGAGCAGAGGTTCTTGCAACCGCTGCTCACGGCCTCCCAGAACCTCCAGAACTCTTGGTCACCAAGTCAAGGTGAGCAACGGGGTCCCTACGTTTCACTTATGGGGAACACCGTGGACAAGAATAAAAAACAGAAAAGAAAGAAAGACAGGAATAACATTCCCGGGACTCGGGAAATGTCTCATTATGGCTTCAAAGGTGTTCTTAGGGACAGAAGCCTCATGGTGTCTTCTTGCTAAGTTGGCCCATTGTTGGGATTCCTGAGGGGCTCAGCGGTTGAGCCTCTGCCTTAGGCTCAGGGAGTGATCCCGGGGTCCTGGCATCTAGTCCCACATCAGGCTCCCCACTGGGAGCCTGCTTTTCCCTCTGCCTGTGTCTCTGCCTCTCTCTCTGTGTGTCTCTCATGAATAAATAAAATCTTTAAAAATAAATAAATGAATAAAATAAAAATAAACACATTCTGGTGAATTGATTTAAACAAGAAAGCACACTCGGTGAGTGTTTTCTGAACATTAGAAGAAAATCTTGGGACTGTGACATGCATGTTGTGGATTGTAAACCAGCCTTTTTCTTACTAACGGAATAAACACAGAGAAATGTGGAATGGACCTGAGTGTGCACGCAAAACTTCATGAGCTGTCACAGCGTCAAATATATTCTGAGGGGGAGTCACTGTGGAGGAAGTGGGCGTCTGTGGTCTGCCCCCTCCCGCTGCGGTGCCCCGGGGAAGTGCCATGACGGGCAGTGGACAGCAGAGGTCAGTGGATCCCTGCGCAGCAGTGAGGCCCATCCTCAGCTGGGGAAGCCTGGGCTGGCCAGGCCTGCCCGTGACCCTGGCCAACTGCCTTTGAGCGACTCCTCCCTGGGGGCCCCACGACCTCCAAGGCACCAGTCCCCCTGCAGTGAGGCACAGCCACTCCCAGCTGTCCACCCCACGCTGGACTCTTGTCTTGGGACCCAAGACACCCTGGTCTAGTTGCATTCGGGCCGAGGTCCCCAGATGTAGGTTGGGGCCCTCGCCACTGCCACCGCCACTGCCGCCATATTCATCTTGGAAAATCAGAGCATCTTCTCACGTCATGCCCGCACGATTGGGTGGGGGGAACGACCCTGCTCCCCATTCTCTCCCAGAAGGAGCCACGTGTATCCCAATGGGACTGGACATGCGCCAAGCACTCCCTCCCCCGTCCACAGTCAGAGCACTGCGTGCCCGC